TCTGACATTTTTGATCTGTAAATCCTCTCTGGTTTATTAACTCTGTCCATGAGCGCATTCATATATTCATTTGACCACCACTATCAGCAATGTACTGTTCAGTAACAGTTTACTACTACCCCCCAACCCCCCCCCCCAAAAGAACTTTACTGTGCGTATATTAAAATTTATTATCATATAATTATCATCCTTGGTGTGAACATGTCCTAAATCTGTATGGTAAATCAGCCCCATCTCACGAGAAAATGTAACTATTTTCCGTAATGTCAGAAAAGTGGCTATGATTTCATTCAAATGAAAAAATGTAGTCCTAAAGCCCAAACCCCACCCTTAGCCCTATTGTCACCGGGGATTAGCTAATCGTACTAAAAATCTTAATAGATCGTACAAATTCATACAAATTAGACACCAAATCAAAAAGTTCCGAATTGTTGTGAGATTGCGATGAACAAATTGATCAGAATTAAAGGTGCAGTATGTAAGTTTGACATGCAGTGGTTGAATTGGGTATTGCACTCCCGGTTTAAAACACATATGCAAGCGCAGGTTGCCAGATTGACGACAACAGGAGCAAGTCTGACTATCGAGCCTAAAGGCTGATTTAAGTCGTGTTCTAAATAAAAGCAATGGCATGCGATAGAAGGAATATTTTCCATATTAAAATAAGTTTTTGTTCCAACCAACACCTCAAATTGAAATATTAGAAACAGCTTCTTTTTCTTGCAGCTGAACAACTTGATAAACTGACAGTAATCACCTCAGGTACACCTCATGTGCTTTATTCAGTTTTAAATGCTAATAATGTAAGTTTAAATGCCATTTTACCTGACATTTATTGCCATACTACTGAAAGCAGCAGCAGATAGTTCACCTCATCTTGAAAATAAAATAAATCATTTGAAATTGAACTTAAGAACTCTGAAATAATACAAACCAACACATATTAGTGATTCAGCATCTACATTTAATAATGTTAAAGAGGTTTAATATGTATTAATTAGATTATAAACCTTACAATTTCATTGGAGTGCAGTAAGTGCACTATTCTGTGCTTCTGAACGAATGTTTTTAAATTTTTGTCATGTTGTATCTGGTGCAAACAGCTAAATTGGCTTATCACTGCAAATATTGTCAGGTGGCGTGTTGTTAGGACACAGGGTAACAATGTAACCTACTCGCCTACATTTGTAATGTTTACATTTGTAACATTTATATTACTTGCTAATTAATAACCACCTCATGTGGAACTCTGACTCTGCGTCTCATTTCGGAGGCTGTTACTGTCCACTGGAGGTCGCATTTCGGTCGAAGTCGCATGCTTTGAAAGCGCAATTTTCCACCAAGGCAACCCAGGCTGCTGAAATATATTTGGCCAAACTGGCATTGGGAGGGTTAATAAGACCAAAACAAAGACAGGCGTTATGGCATGTAACAAACATTTCTTAAATATCTGTAAAAATATTATGGTATTTTTATGATTTAGAAGCGTCAAAAACTTACATACAGCACATTTAATTGGTACGAAAACATACAATCTTAAAAGTAGGCATGCCCCCCAAACCCCTGAATGAGCAAATCGTCCTAATAAATATTAAATATATCATACAAATTCAAACAAATTAGCCAATAAATCAAAAATATTGTTGTGAAATTGCAGTTGATTACAATTAATAATTTTAAAAGTATAGCTTTTCTGGATGGTGTCTTCACAGTTCATAGATTTGATGGAATTTGGCCTTTTTCAATCCCTCAAAAACATTTGTAAACACAAAACAATTGCATAAGTTGGCACATCTTCCTAAACCATGATGCTGGAAAGATTATAAGATGCTTACAGACAGCTGTGTGACATTCAATGCTGTCATTTAGCCTTTTAAATGACATTTAGAAAATCAACCCACTATGCAAACGTGATACGGGAAGTCGGTGCATCTGCAAGCAAAGTGATAACTGCGGTTTTCCAGTGTTTCACAGATGTGCCTGTCCGATGAGGAAAAAAAAACAGAAGACTTCAAAGAGGTACTGTTATAGCCCTGACATTTGATACTGCACCAAAAAAAGCACAATATATGTCATGGGTATACATTTGGTACAGTGACATGTTTATGCATGTTATCATGATACATCTGATTCACCAACAGCATACTGTCCAATGTCATGCATAGAAAACCTGCTGTTTGAGCTGCATTAGAGCTGAAGTGTGTCATTTCTGTACATTTACTTCAATTACAAATAATCACGCCAAATATTTTTGCCCGAAAAATATCAGCCAGGATTTTAAGCGTTCACTCTTTTCCATAAATTGATTACTTACAGCTCAGATTGATGTATTTTATCATGAACGAAGACACACGTCAGCTTTAAAGCTCCCAAACATACGTTTAACACATTTCTTAGGCACTGGCTAAGCACTGTGGGTTATTGGTTTGGTTGAAGCAGGTTTAACTTTGAGGTATATACACGTTTGTTAAACCTACCAGAACTGTGTGCGTGTCGCGGTGATATCTAAACTCTGAAATAAAAAAAGATAACCCAATTAGCAGCAGCTGGGAAAGCAGTAGCCGCTTTTACATTAGCAGCATCAGCACATAAAGTTTGCTAAATAAATATTAGCGAGACGAAGACAAAGGCACCTGCAGCCCAGGTGAGAGATCGGAATAGATGTGGGTGGGTATGCAGTTGTGTGCCACACAGCAAATGATAGTCAAAATGTCAATCTATCCATAAACAGTCTTAGGATATTGTGACTAATGAGGAGCATGAAGATGAATGAGATTTCGCTGCCTTGATAATGGCTGTACATTTAAAGGGATAGTTCATTCAAAATTGAAAAAACAACTTAACTGTTAACTTAATTGTTTAAGTGGATTGAACATAAACATTTAAGCTGTCCCAAAAAAAAAAAAAAAAAAGAAAAAAGAATGAATTGTGCAATGTAAAACCCAAAAAGTTAAGGCAACTCAAACCATTTGAGGAAACGGATTGCAACAAACCATTTCAGTTCAAAAACTAATCCTAATCAGTACTGTGATCTTAATCCATTTGAGTAAACGAAGCAATTTGAGCAGAGTAAAACCCAATAAATGAAGAGAACTCAAACCGACTAAGAACTGTAAAATCCAATAAGTTTAGGCAACTCAAACCATTTGAAGAAACCAATTGCTACAAACCATTTGAGTCAAAAAAACTAATCTATATGAGTACTGTGAACTTACTCCATTTAAGTTAAAGTAATGAGGTACTTAATTAACTCATTACCTTCAACACTGAGTTTAAAACTCTTTTCAAATGAATGATTCAAATGAATTGATTCAAATGAATGAATTAACTTTTAGTCAATTTTGAGTTAACTGCACTCATTTCATTTGATAAAGTTGACTGTGGGTTTTACAGTGTGTTGTTTAGCTTAATTTAAATAAGTACTTTGACAAACAGCAAATGTCATGCTTATGAGTGTAGATACTGTACTGTAAAAACAAATGCAAGATTCCACACAATACCATCATGTTGTCCCAACACAAACTGATTAAGTTAGCTTAAATGTTTTTATAACTTCAAGTGGATTAAACCTAATATATTTAAGTTAACCTAATCAGTTTGTGTTGGGACAACATGAAGGTATTGTGTGGAATCCAGCATTTGTTTTACAGTATCTACACTCAAAAACATGACATTTGCTGTTTGTTTAAACTACTTATTTAAATTGAGCTGAAACACAATTCTTGAGATTTTTTTTGCGACAACTTAATAGTTTTATGTTAAATCGACTTAAATTTGTAAAAAGGAATAAGGTTGTTTAGGCCCAATACCAATTTTATTTTTGTTGCTCCACACGTCCCCTTCCCCCTTGAAACAGGGCGTGAAGGAAAAGGGCTTCAAAATTTACCCCTAAGAAATGGGACACCACTACAGCACCTGTACACGTCATCATGTCATCATGATCTCTTGCTTCACGACTGCTATAGTTATTCCAATTATTTTTTGGTATTTACCTTCAGGACCTCGCTTTCATAACGATATAATGTGGCAATAAGATCGTAACTGTACTGTGCATTTACACCTTGGTCATATTAATCTATGTAAACACACGAAAACAACATTAACATTATAGCAGACACTGTAAAAAGCTCATTCCCAGCCACAATACTTTTCTGACAGGGTTTTACGGTATCAAATGTGAGTGTATGTTGTTGAACTGCATTACATTAGTTAGTATTATGGATTATTGATAGCGAAATTTAACATTTTTATCTTAGTGTTTTTTTTTTTAAATAGCATGACGTAACAAAAATGAACAAGGTTATGAATGTATGAAAACATATGCTTAATAATGTCAAAAAATACAAATTTGTGCATCTCCTAACTTCTGTGTGCAGCCTTGCTGCTGTTGTAGATGGTGTATTCTGGGAATTTTTTTGTACCGTGAGGGTTGCGAGTGTGGTCCTGAATAAATCTCTGTTCTGACCCTTCCTGTTAGCCCTACACCTTCGAGCTAAAGAACATCGGGACACTCCTACCCCTCCACATGAATGCACAAAATGGTTAAGGGAAGGGCTAAGGGGTGGAATTTGGATTGGGCCTTAATACCTTCATGTTTTCCCAACATAAATCGATTTTGTGGAACTCAGCATTTCTTACTGTGTACTTTTGTGTTCAACAGAAAAAAAGACTTTGAGGTGAGTAATTAGTGGATAAATTTAAATCTTTGGGTGAACTATCTCTTTAAGTACATGTCCATGCCCAAAACCTTATTAAAAGGTTAAAACACCAGTATTTAGCTCCCTTTGACTCGTTATCCAGTCTCTTCTACACAAGAGTCTTGTGCAAGCCTGTAAAGTCTAGATTTCAAGGTCACCTGAAGCTAAGACAATCAATGTTCCAGCGATCAATGCTCTAATGGTGCACCGTCCATCCAAATGCAAGGCCGAGTGTATTTTTATACTTTCCCTTGCAAAACAAAACCTGAAACTGAAAACAGCACCTTTGAATCACAATAGACATTTGCAGATAAAAATAGATGTATATATGTATATATACAGAGCAAGACACTGTACATTTTTTTCTGAATACATAGCTAACTGAATATTTCTTTCTGTTCTGCTGAAAATCCATGCCATTAGGATTGAGGCCATGCAGGACTATAATACCTGTTTTTCTTGATCAAAGGCAGTAAAAAAAGACATCTAACGAGCTTTATCAAGGTTGTTCTAACATCTGAAAAGGATTTCAAGATAATAGACAAGCCAGTGATTAAAAATAATTCGACATCCGTGCTACAAATTTGCTAGGGGACATTAAAGAGTGAACTACAATATGGCTCATTAAGTGGCAAAGTAATTTGAATATCAACTACATTTTGGACTATCTCTGCAGCTTGCAGCAGAAACAATAGAACAATTACACTGAACAGTATGCTCTTACACAAAATACACTAGCACTTTTTTCTGTGGCACTAGGGTGTTGTTTTTTTCATCATTTGTCATGTTTTGTATGCTTCTTATCCTAAACAACTACAAATAAGGATAGTTAAAAGGTGGTATGAAATGAGAAAAAGACAACCATTGAATGACATAGACGCCGTAGACTATAAATAACAGAAAATGTGACATAGAGACATTCATCTCGTCTTCAAAAGCTTTGCAGCAGGGTAATCGTGAATAGTAGATACAAGTGTTGTCCATACATACGTATTTTGGATCCACACACAACTATAGACACAGAATCAGGCAGTTTTTCAATGACATTCCCAGCCTGTTCACCACAATAACGCTGAAATACTGTGAATGTTCTCTGTGGTGATCTTAAACGAGCAGCAAAGTGGATGAAACATCTGTGTATTGGACTGCATGTGACCGCAAACCTTTTTTAACAGCAGACGAAGCACGCAAATAACTTTTCTTTGGCTAAGCTTGGCTTTGAAGGTAAGATCTTGATGGATATATATCATGTGCTTTTTTTGTATAAATACTTGGCTCTGGAAAAGATGTTGGATGATGCTGACGACTCCATGCAAACACTGATTATTAATATTTGGACTGTGGACAGACCTGGATGTAGGGTTGAGCTTTCAATAAGTAAATTGAGATTGGATATCTCTTTAACATCATAGTAATCCTTCAAACATGGCTTACCAGTCCTTTTATATTTCAGTTCATACTCGCTCCAGAATTAACTAGACATCTGTTAGCATTTTTTTTATATTAACATAATTTGTATTGGCTAAAGTGCAATTGGCGGTCTTCAGATTCTCTTCCTGAAAGTCTTCATTGCTGTTGTTGACACCTTCTTGGATTTCCATGTAGTCGGATTTGCTGATGGTGGATCCGCTTCGACTTCCCTTCAGCTCTTCTTGCGAATCGGCTTTGGGGACGTTAACTTGGAGATACTGGGCCTGCTCTTCCCCTTCTGTTTCTCGATGGTAGAAGTAGTTGAAGTTTGAGACAATGACGGGCACTGGAAGGGCGATGGTCAAGACGCCAGCGATGGCACAGAGTGATCCGACAATCTTTCCGCCGATGGTTGTGGGCACCATATCTCCATAGCCAACGGTAGTCATTGAAACCACAGCCCACCAGAAGGCATCTGGGATGCTGTAGAACTGCGACTCTGGTTCGTCCGCCTCTGCAAAGTAGACGGCGCTAGAAAACAGGATGACTCCAATGAAAAGGAAGAAGATGAGCAGACCTAATTCTCTCATGCTGGCTTTGAGGGTTTGACCGAGGATCTGAAGACCCTTTGAGTGACGGGAGAGTTTAAAGATTCTGAAGACTCGAACAAGTCTGATGACCCTCAGAATGGCAAGGGACATGGCTTGCTGTCCTTGCTGCCCGTCCTCTGCCTTCTCCGCCAGTTCTGTTCCCAGTGTAATGAAGTAAGGGATGATGGCCACCACATCAATCATATTCATAATGTTCACAAAGAAGCTGGCTTTACTAGGGCAAGCAAAGAAGCGCACCAAGAACTCGAAGGAGAACCAGATGATACAGAGCGTCTCTAGAATGAAGAAAGGATCTGTGAAGTAGGTTGATGTGTAGCTGGTTGTGGAATTATTGACGTTAACGGGAACTTTATGCATCTCCTCCTCATCGCTGCGGAAGATGGGTAAGGTTTCCAAACAGAAGCTCACTATGGAGATAAGGATGACCATTACAGATATGATTGCTATAATCCTGGCTGGCCCTGAACTTTCTGGATACTCGAACAGCAACCAGACCTGCTTCTGAAACTCATTGTCAGGCAATGGCCTTTCCTCCTCTTTAATAAAACCCTCATCCTCCCTGAAAATCTCAATGGCTTCGTCTCCGAGCTCATAAAATCGAATCTCCTCTGAGAACACATCCAATGTGACATTGACTGGTCTCCGCAACCTTCCGCCTGATTGATAGTAATAGAGAATGGCGTCAAAGCTGGGGCGGTTTCTGTCAAAAAAGTACTCGTTCCTTAGTGGATCAAAGTACCTCATTCGCTTCTTGGGGTCCCCCAGTAATGTTTCAGGGAACTGTGAAAGGGTCTTGAGTTGTGTCTCGAAACGCAGACCCGAGATGTTTATGACCACTCGTTCACAGCACTCCTGCTCGGTTCCAGGGTCATAGTCCTGAGGAAGACCAGGGTGTGCCGCCGCCTCGTCTGAGGGGTCGCCGGTGGCCACAGTCATTATGCAGGAGGGTGAGGCCTGCACTTTTCACAGAGACGGGGCACCGCAGGGTGGGGAAATGCAGGAAGAGAATCCAAATGGAAGGGGACTTGACAGCGGAGAGCTCTAAAGGCCACAGCGTGCTTCCGGGTGGGACTGAAAGACAACAAAAGATGTTTGAAAGCAGAATACAGATATATTTAATGTTGTTTACAGATAGTCTAAATCAGTGGTTTTCAATTCTAGTCGTAGGGACCCACCACTCAGCACATTTTGTATTTATCTTACATGGACATCAGTAATCTAATTATTTGCCTTAATCTGAAAAAGACAATAATAATATGATCAAGGTGGTTACATGAGTTGCTTTTTGAATGTACCTTTCATAATCTCGTTTTACACGTTACAGTACATAGTTCGATTAACGTCATTACATCACCATTAGACACTAGTTTCCTCCGGGGTTTCACACAACAATAGTTGGTGTTTGTCATGGCACCACTTTTTGTGTGTACGTCCTATTGCAAAATGCCGCAAAAAGTACTACACAATAGTAATAGATGCTTACATATCTGTAGTGCACTTTAATAATGCGACTAAAATAGGCATACACCACATCTTAACTGATTTCTGTTTAGTTCAATTATGACTTTAATCAGATTAAGGTTACAAAAATTGCTGTTTACATTGTAGATTCTTCATTCAGAGTATTGTCTTAATTGTATTAAAATCGGAGTATTGGTGTCCATGTAAAAATACTCAATGATTTGCATCAAGTGTGTTAAATAAGGGTGACATACAAAGGGTGAGTATTGGGTTCCCAGGACCAAGATTGAAAACCACTAGTCCAGGAGGGGTGGGTAACATTGATCCTAGAGGGCCAGTGTCCTGCAGAATTCAGTTAAACCCTAAAAAAACACCTGCCTGAATCCTGAAAAACTTGTTTGGCTTGTTCAGGTGTGTTTGAGTTTGGAACTTAGTGGTTTCTATAGGGCCACTGTCATGCAGAGTTTAGCTCCAGCTCTAATTAAACGCATCTTAATTAAAGTATTTAGGCTCACTAGAAACACTCAGGTTAGTGTGCTGGACCTAAACTCTGTTGTACATTGTCCGTTGGGAAACAGGTCTGTTCTGAAGTAGGGTTAGGCAACTCCAGTCTTGGAGGGTCATTGTTCTGCAGAGTTTAGCTCCATCCCTAATATATATATATATATATATATATATATATATATATATATATATATATATACACACACACACACACACACACACACACACACACATAACAGATTACTTTCATCTTTGCCATGATGACAGTAAATAATATTTTACTAGATATTTTTCATGACACTTCTATAGAGCTTAAAGTGACATTTAAAGGCATAACTAGATTAATAAGGCTAACTAGTAAGGTTAGGGTAATTAGGCAAGTTATTGTATATTGATGGTTTGTTCTGTAGACTATCGAAAAAAAAATAGCTTAAAGGGGCTGATAATTTTGACCTTAAAATGGTGTTTAAAAAATTAAAACCTGCTTTTATTCTAGCCGAAATAAAACAAATAAGAATTTCTCCAGAAGAAAAAAAATTATCAGACATACCCTTAAAATTTCTTTGCTCTGTTAATCATAATTTAAAGGGGGGCTAATAATTCTGACTTCAACTCTATATAACCTGTCTTCCAAATTACTTAAAAGTTACAAACTTCAGTGTGTGATTAGAGATGGAGTCAAACTCTAAAGGATAGAAGTCCTCCAGGATTAGAGATGGCAAGTAGGGTGAACTTCAATACGTTCTGATAATGTTTCATTAGTGTTCATTAAAAATATGATGCCAATGGCTTAACATTTTCCACATTACTTTAATGAAAAAATATTTAAAATGTATACAATAATCATACAAATCTTCAGTATACTATACAGAGGAAAAAGAGGGGAAATCACATGTATAAGAACACTTGACCTACTTGCCTGATACTCTAAAAAAAGAACTAAGAAGTGATAAAATGTTAAAGATGACGTTTCTCAGACTGAAAGAGGTTAACCTTATGCATTATTAATAAAAAAATGTTTATCATAATACAAGTACTGTATGTCCCTAGTCTAATATTCATGAGAGATCACACATGCAAAGCTCAGGCAAGTCGTAGATCTTAAAATACAGCACACTTTGTATAAAAGAGCTTGTTTGGTTTCGCATTCACGTGCAAAGCAGATCCTTGGCTTTCTTTTAAAGAGACCACCACAAAATTAAGCTCTTCGTCAAGCCCTGTCAGATGTGTCTGGTGTGCAGCAAAGGACAAACAGCCATTCACATAAAACCCCATCTCTCAAAGTGCAGTCAAGTGAAAGAGGCCCTTCTCTGTGAGACATGCACATCCTACATAACCATGCTGTATCCATTCAGAGCTGAAGGCGTGCTTTTGCTATCCCTTTCTCCTCCTTAAGCATGAAATACCTAACCATTCAAAAAACCACATATGACATGCCGTTCCTACATATCTGCTGGACCCGTTTCACTGGAATGTTGCTTGTCCCAAATGGTGCCAGCATGCTCTAAAATATTCAGCAGAAGCAGCCTATGAAATATTAAACTGCAGGAAAATACATTTTAGGCTTTACAAGACTTGGTGGTCTTTCCTTTTCTCTATAGATCCTGTTATACATTATAAATAAGATGCATAAGGATGGATAATAAAATGAACACAAATGAAATTGATGAATAATGCGTCCATGCATTTGAGTGAATAATCATAACTGAGACATCATACCTGCTTGAATAAACTTCTAAATCTTCCCTGTGGTCCCTCAGGTTCCCAGGAGCCTCGAAGTGAGGATTGCACTCCGCCGTCTTTGTAGCCACGATGAAAAGGGCAAAAACACATCGGATTGCTTAAATCCTGACTGCCACTGTCTGCTGTAGCTCTCGGCGCACCGGCGTATTGTGCATAACGGGGCAGGCAAAGAGGGGGGGCGGAGAGGTACAGTGTACGGGTGTGTCCTCGTCTACCCCAAAGCTTCCTTGCGTCAGGTTGTTCCAGAAGGGAAGAACAAAACAAGCATGTGATGCAAAGGAAGGAGGATCCCTTTATTCACATGTAAGAAGGCTATAGAGGTCACCATTATCTGCACTAGACGTGTTGCAACAAATGACCGCAGAGATGAATGTGAAGCACCAGGAGTAGGCAGCATCAGGCTTGCCCATTAATGTAAGTCTTTTAGCGATCACATCAATTAGCTTAGTTAGGACAGTCAATCTGTTACTGTAATGGGAAACACTCTTTTAAGTGACAGATAATTGCAACACTTATTGGGGTCAATGGGGGTATACAGTGCTCAGCATATATGAGTGCACCCCCTCACAAATCTATCTTTTATATTCATATTTTCTATAGGAAGCTTTTGAATATTATATTTGTGCATATACATTAGATTAGTCGGTACTGAAGCCACATTTGACAGTCCAAAAACTAGTACACCCACATTTATACGTTATAGAAAAGTATTAAATACAATTTTTTAAAAGAGGAAAAATCAAGAGAAGCAAAAAAATTTAAAAAATGTGTTGAAATTTTGTAGTTTGTATCCCCCCCCCCAATATTTTGCTTGAATTTAATTGTATTATCTTTCAATTTCTAAATATGTTTGGTGACTATAATATTATTTTAATAAATATATCTGTTTAATAAATCTGTTTTGTTTAAATGCACTAAAATACATTGCTCACTGGGAAATGGATAAAAGTATTCATTTTCAATATGGGGTGTACTTAATTATGCTAAGCACTGTATCTGAGATGAAAAAGATTATTTTTGACCTTGAATACACATTATAAATAATTCAAAAACAACTAATTATAAGTAACATTTAATATTGTTTTTACTTTATTTTATTCCAAAATTATTTTAAACCACAAATAAATTATGTAAATAATTATATGATTTATTTAATATTTATATTATTAGAAATTATATTTAATAATTCTTTAGATTACATTTTAGTGTATATATATATATATATATATATATATATATATATATATATATATATATATATAAAGTTTAGTTATACACACAAAAAACACTATTATATTATATTATATATAAATTTAATAATAAATGCTAATTATTTATTGTCACATGACAAGAAAAACGGCTGTGCAAGCTGGATAAACCCCCAACTGACTTTATCTGCCAGACAAAAGTTCAAGTTATATTAGAAAATATTAGTAAATATATAATAGTAGTACAATTTATGCCAATATTTTTTAAAAGTCTGCCTATTTATTCCCCGTTTTAAACAGCTCTTTATTATTAATTCTAAAAGCCCCACAATATTAATCAACTTCTAATACAGCAACTGAAAACGTTCAATTAAGAATTATATATGTCAGTATGAGATGCACTTTTACCTTGATGCATCAAGATAAACGATACTGCAAAATAAATTGACTGTTAAACCCAATAAATGTCATCACAGTTAAAACGTGTTGTCAGGCAGCCTAAAATTGCATGTTAATGATTTATTCATACCAAAACTATTTTCTGAGGAACCTAGGGTTCAAATATAGAAGAATTATCCTTGAAGTACCAACTGCGCCTTGCTACTTTTTGCAGAGACACCCTAACACAGTATAAATGCTAATTCAATCAAGCTGTCATTTTGACAGATGCAAAACATCATAGAGCAGAAGTCTGCAGCGACAGACGTCTCGAATCTGTGCCTACCTGTCTGTCTACCTCGCTTGCCGACGTCTCAGCAGTTGTTGCATTATGTTCACTGAACAAGCCATTAGTCAGTTAGTTAAAGCGTTAAATGAAATCTGCAGTCAATCGCTGCTCTGCATACCAAAAGACTCCTGGATTACAGACACGCGCTCCGTCCGCGCGCCACTCCTCACTTTATCCGCAGAGTGGCCATTTAAAGGGGACGCGTCACAGTGAGCTTTCCACGACCCGCTCTCTGAACACATCACTCATTTTAACGGGAAATGCATTCACTGTTGATTGGCAGTTATAAATGTGCCTGCCACTTGTAATAGAGAAGTGTATTCTGGAGGACAATATGTTCAATTTAGCATGCACTTATTAATTAGGCTATACACATAATTGACAGAGTCAATAGAGCAAGGCAATATACTTTAAAAGTACAATTTTTTAATTCATACATTTTTTTGACAAGTTAAATTGAAAGGGAGGATTTTTAATTTAAACATAAGAATTTAAGCACTTTGGATTTTAGTTAAAAGTGAGATTTATTTATTTATTTAATTTTGGAGTGAGTGTTGCATGTATGTGACCCTGGACCACAACATCTGTAAAAGTTTTGAAAATAAAGATTTATATGTCATCTGAAAGCTAAATAAATAACCTTTCTACTGATAATATGCGGCTGAGATACAACTATTGATAAAAAACTGGAATCTCAGGGTGCAAATAAACCAAAATACAGAGAAAATTGCCTTTAAAGTTAAAAAAATTAAGATCTTAGTGATGCTCCTTACCTAATAATTTACTGATTTTGCCATAAAAGAAAAATCTAGCATTTTGACACATACGAAATTTGTATTTGCCTGTTCCTACAAATACACACATGCAAATTCAGACTGTTTTTGTGCTCCAGAGTCACATATAAGGTTATTTATAATGTTTTTAAAAGGTACTTAATGGTCTTTGTGTTTGTTTTTGTGAGTTACAGTTGCTGTAGTTGTAGAGCCCATATCCAATGTATTGCATTTTACAATACTTTAACAATGGCTACATCCACACTGCATGCAAATGTGGCCTATATCTGATTATATATATATATTTTTTCGCGCACATGTGATTCAGATCTGTTTTTTTATGACAGTGAACAGCCCAGACCGTGTGAAATCTGATCTTTTCTATTCTGATTTGTGCCACTTTCATGTGGTATTAAATTAGATACAGATCTGATGTTTTGCAATCTGACCGCAGTGTGAATGGTTATGTAGAAATTCATCATCCAGACCGGGCAAATACTTTACCCCCAAAATTTAAGGTTGGACATTTTTTATATTTTTGGAATGACAACTGGCGCTCGTTAACCAAACATCAACCATTAACCTGTAACCAAAAAAAAAAAAATATTGTTCATTAAAAATACCACCATAATAAAATATCATAGATAAAAATCATAAAATACATAGACCTACATGAAATTTATTTCACTTAAATAATTAACACATTAACAAAACCAAATGCAACAGGTTATTGCTCTTTTAAGCTTTTTTGTTAGGGGCAAAATCCTTCAATATGCCAGTAGACAACGTTTCAGTTTTACTTTGAGTTTTGACTGGATAAAGCCTGTTGTTTATAACAAATTAAAATATATTAACAGTAGGCTAGTTATCAGACTCTGCAAACAATATGATTCTCAAAACAGATGAACCAGGTGTGATCCCTGCCTTGACAGTTCAGTCTGCGGCTGCTCATTAACCCTTGAAAAGTTCACACATCTGTGGTCAGAGAGACACCCATCGCACTTGTCATAAATGACAAATCATCAGTGTTTTTAATAACAAAACACATGTTTTAGGTTTTAAACACTGAAATGCACATTAGTACTAGCAAGACCAGTTCATAGAAAATGCAACGGTTGTCTGTGAAATAATCATATTAAACTTAATCTCACAACATGCTGTATTCACTTCATACAGTACACACATTGTGTGCATAATTAGTCATTTTGTGCTGTGCGTAGTTGTACTTTTGTGCATGCGGGTCAGTTTAGGACATGATCTGTTCCCATTGGAAATCTGATATTGGCCAAATTTAAGACAGCGATGTGAACAGCTATGCGAAAAAAAAAAAATCCAATATGAGGAAAAAAAATCTGATTTGAGCATTAAGCCTCGCAGTGTGAACATAGCCAATGTGTCTCCATTTGTGTGTTTGCCTTATGATGTGCACTATAAGTAGGGCATCCAAATCGGGAATATTCAGAACACACTTTATCAGTGAGTCAAGAAGTTATTCAACAAATTAAGTACTTAAATGTACAGTAGAATCAGGGCCGGAGTGGGACTCCTTTTCAGCCCTGGAGTTTTAAGCCTCAGACCGGCCCACCTCAGTTTATGACTGACTATATTAAAATAAGGTCATTTCCAAATCAGTTTCTAATGTCACTATCATGTCTTTTTTTTTGGGAGAAAACAGCTGCTTTAGAACTTCAAATGTTCAACAACCCTAACAGTATTATATGTCTTAACAATAAACATGAAAAAAATTAATTACTTAGTCGAGGATCGAACTAGGGTCAGCAACGTCGTAACCTAATGTGCGACCCACTGGACCACAACCTATAAATACAGTAGTGACTCATCTGACTCATTAACCTGCAGGCTGCATCTTGCCCACGAAGCTGCGAGAAAATAGATAAAAAGAGCGGAGCTGCGGTAAAATAATGAATAAAAAGGCTGCGGTCAAGTAAATAAATAAATTAATTTAAAAAATGTGACTGCTGAGAGCAACAGATTCTGGAGCTAGGGAAACCGGCCCTCGCGGCCAAAAAACAGATCGGCCCACCGGGAATTCTCCCGGTCCTCCCGATTAGCCAATCCGGGCCTGAGTAGAATGTTGCCCTTTCATGTGGTTGTAACATTTTTAAGCATTAATCACTTTTAATTGGCAGTGTTTGAATGCTGGTCATGCTTTATTTTAACGTCTTACTATTTACAAAATAAGTTTTAGCTCAAAAAACGACAAATTTGCTGCTGATTAATAGTTAGTAAGGTAGTAGTTGGAAATCATACTTTATAAGTAATAATAAACAACATTATGTAATATAAAAGGTAGGTAAAAAACTAATTAGTATTTAAACTATAAGTGTAACCTATTTTTTATAGGGAAATACAAAAGGTGTAAAATTTAGATAAGCTTAAAGAAACTCTTTAGTTTGACAACTCTTACAAAAGCTTATTACACTGTTATACATCGACTAAATGATCATAACATTAATTTTAATCCATCAGCAAGATACCATTGAATCTTGTGGAAACACCTCCTGCTTCTATAATCAGATGCTTTCTTATCTCCTGTTTCCTAACTACTGTATTTAACAGGAATGTTTGCGACGCATATTTACATGTTCATCTAAACATCCCCCTGAGCAGAAGTGTGTAGATGACATATAGATATTTGTTATCAGTATATTGATATGAAGGTATTTCCTACTTATTTTACCCTCTAATCAAATAAATACTAGTGTAGTTCATTTTACTTGACATGTATTGTATGCAGTAATGCACAAATGAGTCGCCATATTGTGCACATGCTGCAGGAGTAGTTGTATGGAAGTGTTCTGGAGAGTAAATTCTTGACCTTTCTCTCTGTCTGTGAAGCAGTGGCATTTTATACTGATTGGATCTGAAGGTTGAGAAATGAAAATTGCAGACAGAAAACAATACAGACAAATTGCCTTCCCGCTCACAAAAGCAACAGATTTGGCCATTTGCCGCAGTGGTAAATCAGAAGGACAGTTTTACTACCCAATTGTCTCGGCCAGTTGAATAAAACGAACAAAAGTTCTAAGAATTGACATTTTAGTAGTTTGAAAAAATATAACTTATAAGAAATAATCGATAGAGAACAATGTCTGTAAAATAGCAGAAAATATACTGGCAGTTTATTAGAAGGTTTTTGTATCGTAATATACAACACCAACCCAGACAATATATCACCTAAAACTATTAAAATTTGTTAATAAAATATTTTTTTCAAACTTTTCAAGGTTAAAAATTGTTGGAAGAAAGGTCAAGGTCCCACAATGCCTTTCAAAGCATAAATAAATGGGGAAAAATAAAAACATGAATCACAAAATACGGAAAACTTTTAATTTGTGGATATTTTTTACAGTGTAGATTTAAACAGTTTAAGTTTACCTCCTTGTTTACCTTACTTGTATTTGTAGGAGTGCCTGCTGCCCGCTTCATTTTTAAGCAAGATGCTAATGGTCTAATCTGATTCAATGATTTATGCTAAGCTAAGCTAAAAGTGCTCCTGTCGGACTTGTAGAACGGCTGAATGTATTAAAAAATGGTAAATCTCAACTGTTTAACTGTTTACCAAAATGAGCCTATTTTTATTTTTCTATATATTTTCCTTTAGGAGGCGGCACAGTGGCTCAGTGGTTAGCACTGTCACCTTAGAGCAAGAAGGTCGCTGGTTCAAGTCCCAGGTGGGTCAATTGCATTTCTGTGTGGCGTTTGCATGTTCTCTCTGTGTTTGCGTGGGTTTCCTCAGGGTGCTCCAGTTTCCCCCGCACTCCAAAGATATGCGCTATAGGGGAATTGGATGAACTGGCTGTAGTGTATGAGTGTTGATGTGAATAAGAGTGTGTATAGGTGTTTCCCAGTATTGGGTTGCTGCTCTGAACCAGCTAATCAAGCTCTTTTTAGGTATAGAATCTAAGGAGGTGTGTTGAAGAAAGTTGGAACTAAACTTTGCAGGACACGGGCCCTCCAGGACTGAGTTTGGGCATCCCGGGTCAAATCTGATTTAATAATTAATGCTAAGCTAAGCTAAAAGTGCTCCTGTTGGACTTGGAGAATGGCTGGATGTCTTAAACTATGGTAAATCTCAACTGTTTATTGAGATGCTAATGGTCTAATCTGATTCAATGATTTATGTTAAGAAAGTAGCTGGTTTGAGTCCCGGCTGGGTCAGTTGGCATTTCCGTGTGAAGTTTGCATGTTCTCCCTGTGTTGGTGTGGGTTTCCTTAGGGTGCTCCAGTTTCTCCCACAGTCCAAAGATATGCGCTATAAGTGAGATGGATGAACTTAATTGGCTGTAGTGTATGAGTGTGAGTATGAATGAGAGTGTGTATGGGTGTTTTCCAGTATTGGGTTGCCGCTGCAAGGGCATCCACTGCGTAAAAAAATATATATACTGGAAAAGTTGG